AATAAAATGAGGTACTGGCTTAGCATTTGAAATCATAAAGGAAAGTTCAAGAGCAAGGGTTTAAATCACATAATGATATTCCTTTGTTTGTATACCTTCGCTTAAGCATCTCTTAGTGTATAAATTTATGTGGATTGTTGGTCCCTTTGTATATAACTACTTGGATACTAGATTGGTGGCTAATACACTGGGTGTGTGTATGATTCAGGCTTCATTCCTTTCTGTACCCATCCACCAGGACTTTGTAGTAAAGTGTAAGGAGTTTGCATGATGCCCCATTGACACTGAAGAACTGGACAGGATTTAGAGGTTGTCCTTGATTTATGACCACAACAGAGCCCAACATGTCCATTGCTAAGCAAGATGGTGTTAAGTGAGTTTTGCCCCATCATATGACATTTCTTGCCACAGTTATGAAGTTAATCATGCAGTTGTTCAGTTAGTAACATGGTTGTTATGTGAATCTGGTTGCCCTATAGACTTTGCTTGTCAGAAGGTCACAAAAAGTGACTATATGATGCTGGGACACTGTAACCCATCATGATTACATGCCAGTTGCCAAGCATCCAAATTTTGATCACATGGGGATGCTGCAAGAGTCATAAGTGTGAAAAACAATCATAAGTCACTTTTGTCATGCTGTTGTAACTTTGAATGATCACTAAACAAATGGTTGTAACTTGAGGACTACCTGCACACAACCAGATGTCTCTGCAGAAACCAGGGGTCCAGCCCTTTGATGGAAGAAAAATTAGGTCCAATTCCAAGCTGGGAGAGGGGAAAAAGGAGGCTGACTGCTTAAGAAAGAGGGTTCCTGTTTACTGATGAGCAGAACCAGCAACAGCATGCAGTTCTGCGACAGCTGATCAAATGGAGTTGAGAGTAGGTGGATCTTTATGGACCTCTGAGACTTTGAAGTTGAGATGTTTCTGGGTTGTGCAGTGAGGTGGGCTTTTGTGTCTTTTGCTAATCTAATGGTGGTAGGTAATCCTATTATGTCCTAAAGGTCATGTCCTGTTCTTGGAGCTGGGTGGGGGAATGTAAATTCTTAATCCCATAAACCGTGGAGGCTGAAGGCATTTTTCTTATGAATAGATTGACCCAATCTTTCTTAATGGATTAAAACAAAAATCTCCATTTCTTCTTCAGGAGAAATATTCTATGCTGCCTTTTTTAATATTCCCCAAAATATTTCATTCTCTGGGGGGATGGGGGTGCTGACTTTCTACACCTTTCTGCAGCTCAGACCAAAATGCCCATGGAGGTTAATGCCCAGCAGCCAAACAGAAGGATCATACTTGAAACAGGGTGAAGTGGCCTTTAAGAGCTAAGCTACTTCCACATTGCTTAAGGAACATCAAGGAACTCATCTTTAATAAAAAATAGCAGAAGAACCAGGAAAAGAATTTTTTAAAAAAAAACCAAGACATTTACCACTCTAAATATTAGTGGTGAGTGAATCACCCAAGAGGTACTTCAAATAATCAATCCAAGCTGTTTATTCAATTTAGGGGGAAAAAACAATTGTCAAATTGAATAAAAAATATCCACTCTGATGCTTTAAATTGATTCAGCAGGAGTCAATGAAAGAAATGATTTGATTGAAATCACCTCTTGACTGAAACTTCAAATTGACTCTTCAATAAGTATATATAATGGAAGGGTAATAGAAGAATATCCATAGCATTACATATTGTATCAATTGACCCAGTCCAGCAAGAGAGATTTCTATGGGCAGAATTATATTTCTAAAGTTGAAGTAGAGAAAAAAGGGATTAATCTGGATGTGCATTTATATTGCATTAGTTCCTCTTGGACTTGTTGACTGCATAATTTGATGAAGAAGGGAGGGTTTATTTCCATTGGAGATCCCAGTAGTTATATTGCAAGCATGCAACTAAAAAAAAGTCTAAATTCTCTGAATTATAATTAAGTAGTTTTTTTAATGGCATTAATTGCACCTGTTTCTACAATTAATGCCATTAAACACGTATACATACCATTTGGTAACTTAACCCAAGTTATTTTTTTCTTTTCTAAAATACATGAATGGCTGCATAATGTTCCTTTCAGTGCTCCATCCCCCTCACCCCAATTAATATATCAACAGTTCTAAAGTTAAGCAATGAAGGTAATAAAAATCCAGCATTCTTTTTAAGCCGTCACAAATTGGGAGAGTGGACACATTCCATAATTCCAACAAATTGATTTTTACACAGCCTAAGTGGGTGTATGATTGCAGGTAATGTATCTTGATCTTTAAGTGTCATGTTCCCAAGCTCAGAGTGAGGATGAGCTGACAGAACTAATATGCCTGGTTATGTTTCTATGCTCTGTTAGCAGTGTTTTTGGAGCAGGTGCTTGTAGCTTTTCATTAGCATCTTCTCTGGGAAAATGTAGGAACATCAACCTTTCTTTGCTGCTGTGATGATTGTGCTGTATTTCTGGGTCTTATTTTAGTTTACGTAGACACCACAATACACAGTGTTAGGGTAACACCTTTTGGTCAAGCAGAGCACAGCAAAGAAGCTTGTTTGGAGAAAGATGATCACAATGTTATTTCTTCTGCAGTCAGGAGTGTTGAGAAAATCCTAAGATTCTACAACATCAGAATACATTTGGAACAGAAGCAGGCAATCATGAACAAATACCTAAAAGGCTCAAGCATGTAGAAAGAAGCTTTACAAAAAAGTTGGGGGGTTTTGTTTCAAAGTCATATGCACACACATACGCACACAAACACAAGTCATTGTGAAAATCCCATTTGGTTCTTTGATGGAGGGTATTAAATGAATTCTGCCAACAGCAGGATGACTCTGCCTTATATATGATGAGAGGGAAAGGAGGAACAGCGTTTGTATTTAAAATATCTATATCTGTTGGGGCAGGAGTCTTGAATGTAGTTCCTGGACCAACTTTTCTATAACCCTGCAGTCTCATTTGTCTACTAGCCATTGTAGTGGAGTGGTTAGAATGCAGTATTGCAGGCTAATTCTGCCAACTGCCAGGAGTTTAATCCTGACGGTTTAATGTTGATTCAGCCTTCCATCCTTCCGAAGATGGTAAAATGAGGACCCAGATTGTTGGGGGCAATATGCTGACTCTGTAAACTACTTAGAGAGGGCTGTAAACCACCGTGAAGCTGTATATAAATCTAAGTGACCTTGGAAAGATGGAAGGCTGAGTCAACCTTCAGCCGGTCAGGATTGAAGGGATCAAACTCCTGGCAGTGTGAACAGAGTTAGCCTGCAGTACTGCATTCTAACCACTGCGCCATCACAGCTCACAGTATATTTAGCTTAAAGAAATTGAACTTAAGAATAAGGGTGAATTTTCTCACTGTGAGAACTATAGCAGGAGAGGTTCTTCCCAGAGTTATAGATGGTCCATCACTAGAGATTTTCAAAGGTTGAGCAGCCAGTTTTTGGAATTATTTTAGAATATTTGTCTAGGATTCCTGCCCTGGGCAGGGAGGTTATAACCTAAATCATTTTAACCATAAGTATGATAGTTAAGGTCATGAGCTTTGATATCCTTTCTGTGTCATAGTCCTCAACTTACAACCACAATTAGAATCAGAATTTCCATTGCTAAGCAAGGCAATCATTGAGTTGTACATGGCTTAACCTTTTTTTTGGCCATGGTTGGTAAGTGAATCATATGTTCTTTAAACTAAGCTGGCTTCCTCCATTGACTCTGTTTGTTGGAAGTTGGCTCAGAAGGTCCCAAATGGCAACCATGTGACCCCAGATTGTAAATACATGCTGGTTGCCAAGTGTCTGAATTTTGTTCATGTGATTATGGGGATGCTGCAGTGGTCATTAAGTGTGAGGACTAGTCATAAGTCACTTTTTTCAGTGCCACTGTCAGATCGCCAAAGAAATGTATTGCTTCTTTTCCTATAGTATATAACCATTCTTTGGGGCCTGCCATTTTGTTGGGAGGGGGGGATGTCTTGGGGATGCTTTGCACTGTCTTGCCACTTTGCCCTTCCCCCAGGAGAAGGAATGCAGCAGAATAACATCACCCTTATCTAAGAGAGGTTTGCATTTGGAGCCAGAGGGAAACGAAAGCGAGAGAGACCTTGAAGAGCGTGCCAAAGGAGCCAAAACAATATGCCACCTGTGGATTGGCTGGAATTCAAATGGACAGTGGGAGGGGGGAGGAGTAACCTTACTGCTTTTGATATACTGCTTGCACAGGGTTTTCCTCAGATCTTGCCCTGTTTTCCTCACTATCTGTAGTCCCTAATAAAAGTTCCTTTTGAGACAATGCCTGTTTCAAGAGTTCTGCTTCCTTGGGAGACCTGGTTGAGGCAGGTCCTTACATAAGGTGAAATCTGAGGAAAAACCTGAGCAAGCAGTAATTGTTACTCCTCCTCCCAGGGTCCCACTGTCCATTTGAAACTTTGAACGGTTGCTAAATGGATGGTTGTAAGTTGAGCATTACCTGTCATTAACATGCTCTCATATCACGAACTAGCAAAAATGTAAAAGCTCTTCTCTGTGTTCTGAACAGGTATTAAACCATTCATACAATATAGAATCTTTTCAGTGCATAATGTTAACATGGGGTTTAAAGCAGGGGTCCCCAACCCCAACCCCAACCCCAGTCCATGGACCAGCACCATTGTCCACAGCATGCCAGAAACTGGGCTGCACAAACAAGCAAAGTCTCATCTGTGGAATGCAGGCAGCACACAAAAGCACAACCCCTCCAGTCTGTGGAAAAAATTCTCTCCATGGAAGGGGTCCCTGATGCCCAAATGGTTGGGTGCTGCTGGCTTAAAGTAAAGTGTTGCTAATGCCAAATAGATTAGTATTATGGACTACAGAATCCTGGGCATTATAGCTGTTTTTGTGCATCCCAGAAAAGTCACATGTAATCTTTCTAACAATATGGGAAAGGCTATTTTACTTCTAAAGTTCTAAAATACAGATTTGAGCATTTGAATATGTAATAAACATAGAGACACAAGAATTATCTTTAGATAGCTTAGCTGAGACAAAACCAGACTTTAATAGACAGGGACAACTGATTCCTGTTCCTAAAAATAAGCAACCATTCTTAAAAGTGGAAAAGTGCTACAGTCAGTGTTGGAACAAGAAAATAGACTATAAACTACATTATTCAAGAAAACACCAAAATGGATGAACTAAATGTTGAACAACTGATATCAAAGGACAAATCAACAGCAGATATTAACTATACTTGAAGCCCATACTGAAAGAAAGTTTCTTTGTTCCAGATGTGATTATGAAACACTGCAAATTACAAGTGATGATTTCAAGCCAGTCTCTTCCTGAAAATTAAGAAATAATCTAGCAGTTATAATCCAGTCTTTCTTCCCTTCATCTGCTGTCCAGTTTGATTGCAAGCCTTGGTGTTGGATCAGTCTATCTCAACACGGACACACATGGCTTGTTAAAGTCCTTGGCTCCATTTTATCAATGTTCTGACCGATAGGTGGGAAAGGTTTCTGTTCTGTGGATCTTCAGTGGGCTATCTTCTCCAAATCAAACAAAAAGGAGAAAGAAAAATTATGTCAGCAAATTATCACATGTTCAGGATGTAATCAGTTTGCCTGATTAAGCAGCTGCCCACTTTTACTGTTAAAACTAAGGTTTGAGATGCCCAAAAGCATCCTGAGAAAGATAAATATTTTTTTCCTTCATTCTAATGTTCAGAATTTTATAGAGCTTTGCAACCTATCCATTCCATTTGCAAAACAATACTTGAGGTGTTGAAATGCCAATCCAAACCTCCTTCACTTGTCCTCACCCAGAGGTTTCTGCTCAAGAGTCCAGATTATGGCCACAACTACGAATAAAGCCCCATCTTTTTCATGTTTTCATGAAAGAAACACTGAGATTCTTCTAAGCCATTTCCTTTACTGTTCTCACCTATAGATAAAAAAAAATCTTGCCATGTCAGCAAATTACTTGCACCATGAAGCATATACTCTGGGAACTATTAGGGAGTAGCTGTATTTACCCTCTTTCTCTCACACTAGAAACTAGTGTCATGGTGGCGCAGTGGTTAGAATGCAGTATTGCAGGCTGACTCTGCCTACTGCCAGGAGTTTGATCCTGATTGGTTCAAGGTTGACTCAGCCTTCCATCCTTCCGAGATTGGTAAAATGAGTACCTAGATCATTGGGGACAATATGCTGACTCTGTAAACTGCTTAGAGAGTGCTGTAAACATTATAAAGTGGTATGTAAGTCTAAGTGCTATTGCTATTGCTACGTTGTCTCTTGCTCCTCTGAAATGCACTCCCTCCCTTCTGGGAATCTGGACCACATTCCATCACAGCAGGGTAGGGTAGGGTTTTGATCATGAAACTATGACCACCATCTTATCTTTCTTGATCCCCTATGGACAATCCTTCATGAATAAAAAGAGAAATAAAACACTTTCTTGCTTTCAACAAAAACTGTTGCTAGTAGTAGTAGTGGTGGTGGTGGTGGTGGTAGTGGTAGTGGTAGTAGTAGTAGTAGTAGTAGTAGTAGTAGTAGTAGTAGTACTCTCATGTATTTCATATTTGTGTTTCTCCCTGTCCTGGGCCTAGCAAGTAAAACATGATCTAGGAGGTGGAAAGTCATAACAAGCCTATGAAAACATAAGGCTTGGGAGAAACACAAATTGAAGCAAGCACTGAAGTGTTAGGGGAAAAAAGATGAAAAGGCTGATTTTAAAAGGATACTGAAAAGTATCTTTACAGTGTGTCATTAATAGTCACTAGTTATTATTTTGAGTAGTAGAGCTTTCAATCCTTTATTTATTTGTCTGTTTATCATATCTGTAAAGCCACCTGAACGCATAATGACTCTGGGCATTTTGCAATGTTAAGAACAAATTAGAACAACTAAACAATAACAGTGAGGAAAAAACAGGGAGCATCCGGGAAGAGCAAAACAACACACACTTTATACAATGCATTCCTTCATCACGCACCCTTCTTTCATCACGCACCCTCATTTGAATGTGGTCATAGAATGAGGACTCCCATCTCTGGGAGAACACTATTACAGAGAGCAACAGGACTGCTTCTGGGTCCCATCAGAGGACACTACTTAACTTATGGGACTTAAGCATACCAACTCTGTCCAATCAAATAGAACAGACAGAAACTACAGGAGGCAAGTGGTCCATCAGATAGCCAAGCCCCATGCCATTATGGCTTGAATTGCACCCAGAAGCCAGTTGGTAACCACTAATCCCTGATTTATGACCAGCCATTAACCACTGTTCCTAGTTACTATGGATCTCCCCAGAGCTACTCCCAACTATTTTTGAAATTATGATGCCCTCTGATGCTTTGGAAAATAATTTGACCCCTCTTCTTCTGGGCTCAATTACAGTTGTAAATAAAAGACTGCGTGTACCTTTAATAGCACTTCTTTTTCATTACTTTTCTTTCCCATGCCTCACAAATAAATTATATTGGACATTATATAGACACTTTCCCTGGCCACTAGATGTCCTCAGAGATTATAAAACAAATCAACAAGGTTTGAACTGAAGCTGCAAAATAACAGCAACATTTTCACCTTACTAGAAATAAGTTTATTCAGGAGAGAGATAGATATAAAATTCGCCTTTCATCATGCATGAAACAGTGTAAGCTTCCACAATTAGAAGTGCATTTAAAATAATTACCTAATTGGAAACAATTTTTTTTTTCTATTGAGAATAAGAAAGAGAATATTCATACCTTGTTTAACAGACTGGAGTAGGTTTGCAGTTCTGTGTCTGTTATTTTGGCTCTCAAGATCTTTCACGCATAACATCACCCAATGGGACTACTTTTGGAAATGTTATATCAGCACCCTACCTTGTAAGCCAAAGAGCTGTCCGGTACTGTGCTGCCGCGTGATGTGCTGCCAATAGGCACTCCGGGGCAAAGGGACCATGGTACCAAGAGAAACTGCTCTCTCAGTCATTTTCATCTGGAGCTGAAAGTACAAAACACAATGAGATGAATATATGAGAACCCCATGAAATGCATCTTCAACATGTTGCATCAAAACCTAGGTTGATTCTAATGCTTTTCATCTCTTCAATGTGTAAAAAGGAAGCTCATATCCCAAAATTAACAACAGTTTATATAACTTAAGAAAGCAGAAGAAAGTTAGAATAATCTGGCTGTATCAATTAGATTATTATCTTCAATGTTCAGATAGGCAACCTGATTGATTATGTACCGTTGAATCACTTTTGACTCCTAGTGAACACATAGATTCAGACTGATATTAAACAGCTTGATAACCTCCAGTTCCTTGCTATGACCATACTGAAGTTGATGTTCAAAAGTATCTGAAAATGCCATATTGTACTTTAGCACATATTCTAGATATTTATGTTTCCTGGGAATGAAACCCATGAAACCTAACCCACAGGTTTGCCCTCTATGCCTATCTGTCTTTCCTTCCTTCTCACTAGCTTTTCTCACCCAGATTCATAGTGTCATCACCTGAAACAGTGATGGCAAACCTTTTAGAGATTGAGTGCCCAAACTGCAACCCAAAACCCACTTATGTATCGTCGGGTGCTGGGTGGGCATGTCCCATTGGCTGGATGTGTCCCATTGAGTGGGTGTGGCCCATTGGGTGGGTGTAGCCCATTGGGTGGGCATGGCTGCGGTGGTAACAGCAGACTGGGTGGGACTAAAAAGTTCAATTAATCAATTCCAACTTTGCGAGATCTTTTTTTTCCCCGCAAAAAGTTGAAATTGATTGATTGATTGATTGAACCTTTTTTTTTTTTTTTTTGCACATGGTGGTGGAGGCCTAAAGTGAAAAGGTTTTATAAAACCCAGCTGAAGGCCTAGGACTGGGGCGATGGCACGCATGCCCACAGAGAGGGCTCTGCTTGCCACCTGTGGCACGTGTGCCATAGGTTCACCACCATGGACCTAAAAGGTTGTATTTACCCTTAATTTAATTTATATTGGATAAAATATATTGCAAGCATGCAAAACAAACAAACACTTTTTCCAATTTGAGGAATCCTGGAAATAGTAGCTCTGCAAAAACAGGCCAAGGGCTTTTAATGATCAGAATGAAATGCATAAAAATTATTTAAATTACAGGAAGGCAGATTCCAACTGAATGTTAGAAAATAATAGTAAAAGCTATTCAACACTGGAATGAAGAAGCATTGGCCTTCCCTTTGTTAGATATGTTCCTATGAAGGCTTAGAAAATCATCTCTCAGAAATACTTTCATTAAGGATCCAGTACTGAACTGGGCATTGCATTTGCTGGCCTAAATGGCCATTTCTAATTCTATAATTAGATTATTAGTGGAAAAAAGAGGGTAGAGATAGCAAGAGTCACACTGATAACTCCTTTGAAGAAATGGATCCCATAAACTAAGATACTACCTTGGCTGAGAAATAATGTGATCAACTGATTTTGTGCATAAATGCAGTCTTCCTTTGTTGCATTTACTGTTAAGTATGCAGAGATAAATAATTTAGACAATAGAGACTTAGTGACACACCATATATTTAAAGTTGCATTCAATTTTTTCAAATGCTAGCAAGGTGGGAGATATCTTCAAAATTCTAGCCTTACTAGAAGCCATTCTAACAATTTATCTCTCTCAATATGTGGAGAGAGAGAGAGAGAAAGAGAGAGAGAGAGAGAGAGAGAGAGAGAGAGAGAGGGAGAGGGAGAGGGAGAGAGATATTTAGGGCACAGGTGTCAAACTTGCAACATCATGTGATGTGTTGTGACGTATCGTGACTTTTTCCCATTGCTGGCAACGGGATGGGCGCGGTTTTGGCGTGACGCATCCGGCCTACAGGCCGGCAGTTTGACACCCCTGATTTAGGGTCTCTGGGCCAGAGGAATCACTGAAATAAAGACTACATGATATTAGTTTTTTTTATGGGAATACCTGAATTTCCTTCCTGACAGCCAAATGAGAGATTTTTTAAGATATATTGATAACAATGGGAGACAAACAATGATTGCTACATACGAACTTCCCCCAAGGCCATGTTTATCCTGCCATGTCTTGTTCCTCATGGGTCATTTTACTTCTGTAGCATCTGCTCTGTTCTATCTGTACATCAGTCAATGAAAGCAACTTATTCTCCATTTCCAGCATAGTATCAAAACTTTCACCAATTTTTGGCGAGAAGTTTAAATAAACATGGCATTGGTCATAAATGTTTGCAGGTAAACTTGACTTTGTTTTTGGGATTTCAACTTTGGCCATTATTTAAAACTGATTACAGTCATTCTCTGATATACTTTCCAATGAAGGGAAGTAAAATGTGTGATTAGGCTTCCACGGTATAAAATGAAAAAGGAAAAGCATGTTATGAAAATTGATTTCATAGTAATTCTACCTTAGGGAGGTTTTGCAGTGGAGGCAGAATATGCTACATATTATCCCACTTGCTCAGAATAATATAAAGTATGTTATTCTAAGAATAGGGAAAATAACCCACGGCATGGCCATTGAAAGACAAAATACTAGGGAAAGCTTGTAATTCTTTTCCATTGTAAAAAAACATGAATTTTAACAAACAATATTCCATTAATGTCAAAGAATTTTGTCACAATTTCTTCTGGAAGAAAATTTGCAGACTGTTTTTTCCTCAGAGGAACCATGGCAGGATATAATAATAATAATAATAATAATAATAATAATAATAATAATAATAATAATAATAATAATAATAATAATAATAATAATGTGGCATGGATTGACTACAAAAAGGCATTTGACTCTCTGCCACATGATTGGATAATAAAGTGCCTAGAAATAACAGGAGTCAGTAGAAACATCAGAAAATTTGTGCAAAGATCGATGGCACAATGGAAGACACAGTTGCAGATCAATGGTGAGAGCTGGGAGAGGTTAATATCAAGAAAGGAATATTTCAAGGAGATTCATTATCACCATTACTATTTGTTATTGCACTGTTTCCTCTGTCAACAATACTGAATAACTCAGGACATGGCTATCAAACATCAAAAACATCTGCCAGACTATCCCACCTCCTTTATATGGATGATCTGAAGCTGTATGGAAAAACATCATCTGAAATAGAATCGCTGCTCAACACTGTCCGTATATATAGCCAAGATATTGTAATGGAGTTTGGCTTGGACAAATGTGCCCCACTTACTATCAAACAAGGAAAAATAGTGAAAACTGAAGGAATCAAAATGCCCCACGAAAATAACATTAAGAGTCTGGATGAGGAAGAGTACTACAAATACTTGGGTATCCTTCAAGCTGACAACATCAAGCACTCTGAAGTCAAGAAAAAGATTAGAGGTGAATACATCAAGAGAGTGAAGAAGATCTTAAAATCCAAACTCAATGGAGGAAATACCATAAAGGCAATCAACACCTGGGCAATCCCAGTCATTAGGTACACAACTGAAATAGTGGACTGGACTCAAGCAGAACTAAAAGCAATGGATAGGCAGACCAGAAAAATAATGACAATGAATCATGCCCTTCATCCACGCAGTGACATTGATAGACTTATCTACCAAGGCAAATAGGTGGGCGTGGAATGCTACAAGTACATCAGATGGTTGAAGAAGAAAAAATGGCTTTGGAAGAATATCTGAAGAACAATGATGAAGATGCACTGAAATTAGTATATCAGGAAGGCTTACTAACTACTGAGAGAGACCAAACTGGCCTACAAGAAAGACCAAATGAAGAACAGAATAGAGGCATGGGAAGACAAAGCACTACATGGCCAATACATGAAAAAAAATAGCTGGGAAAGCAGATAATAATAAAACCTGGCAATGGCTAAGAGCAGGAAAATTGAAGAAAGAGACCGAGGGACTAATTCTGGCTGCACAAGACCAAGCCTTAAGACAAATGCATACAAAGTCAAAATTGAGAAGACAGCAACAGACAGTAAGTGCCGCCTATGCAAAGAAGCTGAAGAAACAGTGGACCACCTGGTAAGCTGTTGCAAGAAGATTGCACAAACTGATTACAAGCAGCGGCATGACAAAGTAGCAACAATGGTGCATTGGAAGATCTGCAAAAAATATCATTTGCCTGTAAGCAAAAACTGGTGGGATCATAAAATAGAGAAAGTCATAGAAAATGATAAAATTAAACTGCTCTGGGACTTCAGAATTCAAACAGACAAGCACCTGCAACATAACACCCCAGACTTAACAATTGTCGATAAGAAAGACAAAAAAGTCTGGATAGTGGACGTGGCAGTGCCTGGAGATAGCAGAATAGAAGAGAAAGAACTGGAGAAGATAACAAAATACAAAGACCTACAAATAGAAATAGAAAGACTGTGGCAAAAGCAAGCAAGGGTAGTACCAATAGTCATAGGCTCCTTGGATGCAATCCCAAAACAACTGGAGCACCACTTGAACACCATTGGCATTGACAAATTCGCTATTAGTCAATTGCAAAAGGCGGCCTTATTAGGAACTGCTTCCATCCTGCGACGATATCTGTAATACCATCAAACATCCACATCTGCCTATCCCAGGTCCTGGGTAAGGACTCGATAGGTAGACAAAATGCCAATCCAGTCTGAACATCTGGCTGGACGTGCGATGATCAATAATAATAATAATAAAAATAATAATAATAATAATAATAATAAAAGTTGGAAGGGACCTTGGAGGTACATCAGTCAACCCCCTGCTCGGCAGGAAAAACCCTATCCATTTCAAGACAAATGGCTGTCCAGTCTCTTCTAAAAACTTCCAGTGTCGGAGCATTTCGCTTTAGGAGGCAGGTGTTCCACTGGTTAATTGTTCTTCAGGAAATTTCTCCTTAGCTCTAGGTTGTTCTCTCTTAGATTAGTTCCCACCTTGATTTTTGTCCTGCCTTCAGGCGCCTTGGAAATAGCTTGACTCCTTCTTTGTGGCAGCCCATGAGAATTGGACTACTCCAATCATGTCCCCCTCATCCTTCTCTTCATTAAACTAGACATACCCAAGTCTCGCAACCGTTCCTTAGATGTTTTAGCCTCCAGTCCCCTAATCATCTTTGTTGCTCTTCTCTGTACTCTTTCTAGAGTCTCAGCATCTTTTTTACATCGTGGTTACCAAAACTGGATGCAGTATTCCAGGTGTGGCCTTACCAAGGCCTTGTAAAGTGGTATTAACACTTCACGTGATCTTGATTCTATCCCTCTGTTAATGCAGCCTAGCACTGTGTTGGCTTTTTTGGCAGCTGCAGCACACTGCTGGTTCATATTTAAATGATTGTCCACTAGGACTCTGAGATCCCTCTCACAGTTACTACTATTGAGCAAGGTAACCCCTATACTATACCTGTACATTTGGTTTTTCTTGCCTAAATGTAGAACCTTACTTTTTTCACCATTGAATTTCATTTTGTTAGATAGCGCCCTGTGTTCAAGTCTGTCCAGATCCTCCTGTATCCTAAGCCTGTCTTCTGGAGTGTTGGCTATTCCTGCCAGCTTGGTGTCGTCTGCAAATTTGATGATTTCCCCATCTATACCCTCGTCTAAATCGTTGATGAAGATGTTGAAGAGCCCTGGGCCCAGAACAGAGCTTTGGAGCACCCCACTACACATTTCCCTCCATGTAGATGCAGTTTCATTGAGGACCACACACTAAGTACGGTGTGTGGTCTACAGATCCATCTGGTGGTGATGCTGTCTAACCCACATTTTTCTATCTTATCAAGTAGTAGGTTGTGATCTACTTTATCAAATGCCTTACTAAAGTCCAAGTAAATTATATCCACAGCATTCTTCTGATCCACTAATTTTGTCACTTGGTCAAAGAATGCAATAAGATTTATCTGGCATGATCTGTTTTTGACTAACCCATGTTGGCTTTTAGTAATGACTTTGTTTGCCTCTAAGTGTTCGCTGATTCGTTGTTTGATTATCTTTTCCAGAATCTTCCCAGGTGTTGAGGTCAGGCTGATAGGTCTGTAATTTCCTGGGTCCATTTTTTTTTCCTTTTTTGAAGATGTGAACTACATCAGGTCTTTTCCAGTCCTCCGGTAGTTCCCCAGTGCTCCAGGATCTTTGAAAAATATAGTTTAATGGTTCTGAGATCACATCTGCCAGTTCCTTGGGAACCCTGGGGTGTAATCCAATGTTAGGCAGTGGTGGGATTCAGCCAGTTCCCACCACTTCAGCAGAACCGGCAGCTAATTTTTTGTTGCCCAAGTCCATAATGGACTTCCAGAAGCGGCATCCACACAGAAAACCAGTTATTCACATATTTGAATCCCACCACTGATGTTAGGTACGAATGAGATTTTTATCTAAATGTTTTTACATTTTCCCTCCTTCTCTCTTTCCACGTGCACACAGAAAGAGCAGAACCAAAGAATGGCATATTTTAAAGGAAAGCAGCTTTCTCCTAGCTTTGCTTAAACTTTTATGAACTGCTGCAACAACTCCTGAAGAGAGGACGGTTCTAGTGTTTCTTGGACTGGCCAAGTGATAAAACAATGCCAAGTGTCACCTGGTCTTTCCAGGGAACACCAGATAATTTTGCTTACACCACTCTGATGTAGTGGTTAAGGTGCTGCCTAGATACCAGAGATTGTGAGTTCTAGTCCTGTCTTAGGCATGAAAGGTAGCTGAGTGACTTTGGATCAGTCAAACTCTCTCAGTCCAGCCACCTTCCAGAGTTAGAAACATAGAAAACTAGTGGTCCATTAAGTCTGCCCTTTGAAGGTTGTTTTTTTTTTAAAAAAAATATTTTTTGCCAGATGATGGACATGCGATTATCCCAAGCATATTTAAACTCAGTTAAAGAACCAGTTCTTTAAGGCTCTTAAGGGTGGGATCCTGCTGCATCCCCCATTTCCATCATAGAAAACTGCTTATATTTAATTTGCAATTTCTCTAAAATTTAGCCACTCCAGCAGAAACAAATATCCAATTTGAAATCTTTAAAACCTGCATCTAGATTACAATTACACCATGCAATAAAAGCTTCTACCCACAATGTTAAATAAATATGTTCCATCAGGTAAAGCTTCAAAAGATTTTACAAAATTATCCTATATTTTACTGTCATGGAAACAATTCAAAATCTATTTTAGTAACTGTAGCACATTTTTAAAGACTTGCATTTGAAAACAACTTAAAGGGTATCCTTCCGTATCTCTCATCATTTTGAATTAGCAGTATCTTACTTGTTTAAAATAAAGGACAGGTAAAATATTTTTAAAAGACTATTTTTAAAGATACTTCAAATACTCTGATAGAGTAGAAGGATTGGAGAAAAGCATTTAATCAAAGAAAACAAATGTATTTAAATAAAAAAAAATATTTTTAATGGTGAGAGAAAATGATTTAAAAAGCATATAAGAAAAATCTTTATTTATAGATGCGGAATTCTGGGAAATGGGACCCACAAGTCTTAATGGTGCCACGGTTGGACACCTTTGCCCAAGGATATCCCAATACCTGTTCCTGAAAACCAGGAGGAGTGTGGCCCATTATTCTATAACAGAGGCGAATCAAGATACTTGAGGCAATCCTCACTGCCCCTGTTCATTAATCAAACAGCAATTGCAGCTACAGGCTCATTCAATAAACCCATTGCTTAAAATCAAAGATGCAGAGTAATCTAACAAGAGCAAAGAGACTAACTCTGCCCACTGCCAAGGGTTTGATTCTCAACGGCTTGAGGTTGACTCAGCCTTCCATCCTTCCAAGGTTGGTAAAATGAGGACCCAGATTGTTGTGGGCAAAGTGCTGACTCTGTAAACCACTTAGAGAGGGCTGTAAAAGCACTATGAAGCAGTATATGTCTAAGTCTTATTGCTATTCCTGTTCATACCATCCAAACCTGAACTCTTGATTAAGAAGGTAGCTTATGTGGTTCATGAAATTAGGAGGCCTACCATGGAGCTTTTCACACTCTGCAGTAAGTGGTCATGTTGTTCTGCTATGGTCAAGGCAGCTGAGTGGACTTTCTGATAGATTGCCTCCCCATCTCTTGTCTGGAAAATGAATAGGCCTTCCCCAGTATCACACATCCTGTCAGAAAAAGAACAGAGTATGGTTCCATGTGATCAGAATAATTTATAACTATGCATTCCTACAGCAGGGTCTCTGCTGAGGGAAAAAGAGGATCAAGAAAAGGATGAAACAAAAATAGCAGATAACAGTATATTAAATTCAGATGAATTTCTGCCTTCCATATTTCTTGATGCAGAAGTCGATCCTGTTCCAATTTTATGCTGCTTTATAGCTTTTCCATTACAAAATATTGCTATAGAAGTACATTTCTCTGCAGATTTTGATATGCAATTTTCTATCAGGTGTGTATTGACTGGAGAACTGTAACACAACATGCAAAAGTGTGCAAAAATCTAAGGCTCCTTAGAGTCCAGTTTGCATATGGTGCTTGTATTAAAATTTAAACCATGGTTATTAGTCAAACATAAGTATCACACATACATCCTTGGGTAGACAGATAAGCATAAATAAAACCTCAGAAAACATAAGCATAAATAATTTCTACATCTGGGGAATGTAAATAAAGCCCATGCAAAGCACATTTAGTGAAAATAAAAGCACACAAAGGGAGAATAGTTACAATTTAAAGTTCATTTCTTTTCTGGAAGGCTACTTTTTAATACCTTTAAACAATGCATTCTTTCTCTACACGACAAGATAACTTACAACCCATTAGTCAGATACAGATTAGAGAAGCAGCAGAAGAATTCAGATAGTCCTCAACTTTCAATCACAACTGGAACCAGAATTTCTATTGCTAAGTAAGGCAGTTGAGCACACTCAAATTTATGATCCTTTTTGCTATGGTTATTAAGTTAATCACTGCTGCTACTTCTCCAATCTGTATCTTTGTGTTAAGAAAATCATACAATTGTTAAGCAAATCTGATTCCCCCCCCCCTTTGACTTTGTCGGAAGCTGGCTGGGGAAGTTGGAAATGGTGATCATATGTCTCCAGGACATTGCAACTGTCATAAACATGTTGGTTGCCAAGCACTTGAATTTTGATCACTTGCATGTAGGGATGCTGCAATGATCCTAAGTTGTTAGCAACTTTTTTCTGTGTGGTTGAAATTGTGAACAGTTGCTAAATGAACGCTTGTAAGTGGAGGATTACCTGTGTACTACCTTTGAATTTAGTTGTGCTGTCATTTTGGCTGACTATTTCAGCCAGGTTAAATTTGTACATTTTAAGAGGACTTTCAGTACAAAAAAATTCCTTTTTTATTCCCCTTTGCAGCAAAAAAGATTTTGCCTCCAGGACTGAATATTCTAATTAATCCATTGTTAAATGTTTTTCGTGTCCATCACCCAGGCCAAAATCTGTACACGTGAGTGAATATATATGTGTAATATATATGCACATATGGGAAGTGTGTTTTTATTCTTCCTTTAAAAATGTCCTGAATAAAAAGCACAGGTCTAGAATACCTGTGTTGCACAAAGAAAAGTAACAGGTAGTCCTTGGCTTACAACCACAACTGAGCCCAAAATCTCTGTTGTTAAGTGAGATGTTTGTTAAGTGAGTTTTGCCTCATTTTACAATCTTTCTTGCCAGATTTGTTAAGTGAATCACTGCAGGTGATGTTTGTAACCCAGTTGTTAAATGAATCCAGCTTTCCTATTGACTTTGCTTGTCAGTAGATCACAAAAGGTGACCACACGACCCCGGGACACTGCAACTGTCATAAATATTAGTTGCCAAGCATCTGAATTTTGATCACATGACCATGGGGATGCTGTAACGGTTGTAAGTGTGAAAAATGGCCATAAGTCACTTTTTTCAGTTCCGCTGTAACTTTGAACAGTCACTAAATGAACTGTTGTAAGATGAAGATTACCTGTATAGGTTTGATTCCGCAGTATCTTCAGATTGGGCTGAAGAAATTTAAAAAAAAAATCTAAAAGGACCCAAAGAAGGTCCTTGGTAACCAAAGTAATACCAGAAAAGATATATAGCCCAGTCTGAATCATACTTCTATAGCTCCCAGTGTGACAGACCATAATCAGATTCATACTTGTCAAGAGATTTAGAATATTGGCTGTTCTCCCAAAACCAAACAGACCTACTTCCTCTGCCATCAAATATATTAATAGGACAGAGAACAGTTGTTGCTGCTGTATATATGTCTGTTGGCTTGGTGTGTGTTTTGTTAATGCGATATACAAGGGGTCCAATGCAGAGAGAATTTCCTGTTTTCAACATTATGGGGGAAAAAACCTGCAGAAAAGAATTTTCTAACCTTCCAGCTTCAAATGTAAACCAGGTTGCGTCCCGTCCATATCGCCGGAGGGCACTTAAAGGCCAAGATACGAGTTTTATTCTGGGATTCTGTATGTCCCAAAGACAGATATTTTCAAATGTTATCTGCAAGGTACATTCTCCGTGCACATCTAAATTAGGTGACGGCATCAAATACACATGGAATCTCTCTGGGAGAAAAAGAAAAGTTTTAAATTAAAATCCTTGCAAAACTAAAAGCCAGCATAATCATAATAAATCATGCATCACTTTCATGGCATTTTCCAATATCCAAATTGCTCCATAATTATCCCCACATTTTTTTCCTAACAGCCTACAAATGAAAGAGCAATCTTACATGACTTAGAAAACTTTATTTGATTGTATCACTTCCGTTGGCAGAAGAAAATCGTATTTTTGAATGTCACTAAAATAAACCACTGGTTGTAGAAAAGAAGTTCATTGAGGATAAAAGTTCAGTGCTGTCTTTTGTCTGACATGCTATTTTGCTCTATGGTTTACATATGTGAAGCCACTTCAAAGACATGAGCCCCAGTGCAATTGTTAAAACTTAAAATTCTATGAAGTTGGGGTACTGCAAGATTCTACCTACAAACTTTCTGTTTCCAAAATTTAGGAAGTCAACAGGTTCTTAGTGGTGTAGAAGAGTAACTTTTGAACATGAACAGTCCCAAAACCCTTGGATCCTTCAAGGATAAGCCACTGTTCAGAAGGAGATAAAAATGTATGCATATTGTTAAAAAGGATTGATTTCACCTAACAGAATAACAACAGTTGGAAATGACCTTGGAGGTCTTCTAGTCCAACCCCCTGCTCAAGCAGGAAACCCTACACCAGACATGTCAAACACAAGGCCCGGGGCCCGGATGGAGCCCGCAAAGTGGTTTCATGTGGCCTGCGAAGCCATCCTGGAAACAGTGGGGGAATGGCCCTCTCTGCCTTGGCCCTGGCCCAGGCCAGCCAGGAGCCAATGTACAATTTTGTGGTGGCCATCTATGCTCAAATACATTCAGTCTTAGCTCCATAAGCCCCCCCCCCCACATGGCCTGAGAGGAACAGTGAGGCTCCTCCAGTGGACCATGCCTTGGTGCCCTGGTCCCACCCCCTTCTGCCAGAGATCCTCAGATCTGTCCCACTTCTGCCCAGGCCCCCACAGGCATCCTTGACACGAACGATGTAGAGCTGGCCACACCCACCCAGTAGGCCACATCCACTCCATCCACGCCCACCCAGTAGGCTGCACCTACCCTGGTCACACCCACCTGGCCCCCTAAGGGCAACCGCAATGCTGATGCGGCCCTCAATGAAATTGAGTTTGACACCCCTGCCCTACACCATTTCGGACAAATAGTTGTCCAATCTCAGCATTCCTCACATTCCTAACAACACCTGAGATTGATTCTCATTTCAAATAATTTATCCTTTGCTTAAAAACATAGGATTGAAACATTTAACTAAGCAATGCTGAATCTACCTCTATTGGGTGACACATATTTTAACTGGCAAGAGGGAAAGAATGGAGCAAGAGAGAGAGGAGGACAGAATATAAACAGAGATGTGACTTGCAGATAAAAAAAAATATGACCAATTTAAAAAATTTAACAAAGGAGCATTTCTGGATTTTATCAAGTCATTTTGAAGGCATCCTGAACGTGTCTACTTGTGGTTATATACAACATGTATTTACATACCATTCTGTTCCCTCTCTACACCAGAAGCCAATAGGTCAGGTTCTCCAAGGCTAATATCATTAATCTGAGTCCCCAGGCACTCAATTTGAAGGACTTTGCACCATTCATCTGCTTCAAGTTCTGCATACAAATGACCAAAAATCTGCAGGTTGGCATGGACCATTTATAATATTTACAGCTACCACAACTGTGCGCGCACACACACACATTAGTCTATGCCATTAGACCTACCTGATTCACAAGCAAAAGTCCTGGATGTGTCATCATTAAAATATATCCCTACAGCATGTTTCCTTGTGCCTTTTGGCAACCGCAATATATTCTTCACATGATTAAGTTCTGTAACCTGGAATTAAAAATGAAAACAAAAAAACAGCCACTCGTGAATCTCATTAAGGTTGTTTTACAATGAATATTCTAGGTAACAAGTGCAACCTGACACACTGATGCCATCCATTTGAGGTAAAGAACCAAAAGCTCTTTTTTGTTTTCTACAACCACAGTCCATTTCCATAGTCAGGTAAAGTTACCTGTGCCCTGACAGGTTCTGGACTGTACCTACTGATGCAGGAAGGGAAAAATGGAAATACAACATAGTATACAGGTAGTCCTCAAATGAGCCCATTTCTATTGTTAAGTGAGACATTTGTTACGTGAATTTTGCCCCATTTTATGACCTTTCTTGCCACATTTGTTAAATGAATCACTGAAGTTGTCAAGTTAGTAACATGGTTGTTAACTGAATCTGGCTTCCCCATTGACTTTGCTTGTCAGAAGGTCACAAAAGGTGATCACATGACCCCAGGACACTGCAACCGTCATAAATATGAGTTGGTTGCCAAGCATCTGAATTTGGATCACATGACCGTAGAGACGCTGCAAGAGTTGTTAAGTGTGAAAAATGGTGATAAGTCACTTTTTTCAGTGCCGTTGTAACTTCAAACTGTCACTAAACCAACTGTTGTAAGTCAAGGACTACCTCTGTGTATTAACTTAAAAGGACAAATAAACAGCAAAGGGCAAACATAATGGTCTGGAATATGGTTTATCAAGGAATTGGATTATGAATGTTGAAAGATTAGCAGGGTGATATACCAGCAGTCCCCAACTTTTACAGGCAACCCAGCGGAGAGGAGAGGGGAGGGGAACCAGCCCACGCAAGCATCAAGCAGGCATGCACTCATGTGCATGCTGGCCCACTACTTGCTCAAGTCAAGTTGTGTGCATACATGGCAGCCCACTGCTCGTGCAAGTCGAGCTGAGTGCATGTGTGCTGGCCTGCTGCTCGCACAAGTACTGGGCTGAGGCCCAGGATTTGGGATCCCCTGTGATATACAGTAGCCTATTGGAGTTAAAGGGTCCTAAGTCAGCACATGAAAATCACCATACCTACATGTCTGTTATATACAGGTACAAGCAATTATTAAACTCCTAAGCAGCAATGCTCCCAACTTTTATCCACTTGTAAGTGCATCTGCACCTACATGCAGACATATCTTTTCTCTCTGGAGATGAATGATACCGTACAGAATGTAGAAAAGGAATAAGAAATAATAAGCTAAAGAAATTAAAGGCATGAAATAAGAAAGAGAAAACTGCTAAGTCAAATATCTGGGATACCAGAAAGAATGAAATATTTATAGGAATTAGGGGAGGGGGGTGTTTAACTTTAAATAAAGAGTTAGGATGAGAATGTCAGAATAGGTAATTGATAAAGGGTTACTTCTCTTTGTAAAGAAAAGATTCAGACTGTCTGAGACTTTTACTTTACTTGTAAGGAGGAAATACAAAAATGGCTTTGTGGTAGTAGGCTGAGAGAATGGCTCCAATAGATCCCAGGAACAACATCACTGTTTGTTTGTTTGTTTGTAGTGTTTGTGTGTGTGTGCATGTGTGCATGCACATGTGAGTGTCTCTATATTTTCCGTATGTATATAGATATCATAAACACACCCAGGAGAGATATTTAGGGGGCTGGAGGCTAAAACTTGAAGAATGGTCGTAGGAACTGCGTATGTCTAATCATGTGAAAAGGACTAAGGATGGCATGATACAAATGGTCCAATATTTGAGGGGCTGCCACAAAAAAGGGGGGGTGTCAACCTTTTTTCTAAAGCACCAGAAGGAAGAAAAAAAAGCAATGGATGGATATTAATCAAGGAGAGAAGCCAATTTCCTGAGAATGAGAACAAGTAACCAGTGGAACAGCTTGCCTTCAGAAGTTGTGGATGTTCCATCCCTGAAGGCTTTTAAGAAGAGATTAGACAACCATTTGTATGAAATGATATAGGGCAGGGGTTCTCAACCTTGGAAACTTTAAGACTTGTGGACTTCAACTCCCAGAATTCCTCAGCCAGCAAAGTCCACAAGTCCACAAGTCTTAAAGTTGCCAAGGTTGAGAACCCCTGATATAGGGTCTCCTGCTTGAACAGTGGGTCCTTTCCAACTCTGTTATTCTGTTGTTCCTGCAATCTATTGGAGCAACTCTCTCAGTCTACACCATTGGGATCACATTGGCCTTTATTTTCCATATCCTCTCTAGTTCTCCTTCATGCCCTGGTATTTCTCCAGTTTCTCATACTCTTGCCTTATGTTGCTGTCACTTGGCATTGCTATATCTATTACCACTCTATATATACACATCACACAGAGACACACACATCCATTTCTAGGTGTATTATTGAAAACTAACTTTCTTTCTCTCTCTCTCAATTATCCATATAACACTTTGTCTTTGATAGCAGGTTTTTTTTTTTTCATTTTTCCTCAGCCTGTTGAAATCTGAATTCTGCTTTTGAACACTTACTCCATTTCTTTGTGAAGGTAACTAGATATAGGTGAGATATGAGCTATTGGTTGCCCATGATGGCTTTGTGAAGTTTAGGAGAGAACAATTTAATAAAAAAAAAGATGTTTCTCAATCTATTCCCATTATCAGTTCATCCTTAAAGGTCAGATATGGAAAGAGCAATTGCTCTGCCAAAATTTAAAATGAAGAATGATGGGTTTCAACAAACATTTTGCAAGCCTCACTTCACATTTGGTGCTTCAAAGTTCATCCATCTGAAGAGCAAAATCTGTTTGCTTTGGGTTACTTTTTCCACCCATATCTGCACTTTATCAGCTCATAAAGTAAACAATGAAGATTGTTAATTGCCAATGACTATTATCTAGACTGAACAAGGTTCTGATTTCATACTACAGATATCAAGAAAGATTCATCTTCCGAACCCAACATCTGTAAACCAAGACAATAAATACAATGATTAGGGTACATATGTTTAGGCAGAATTTCATTCAAAATTCCAAAGGAGACAATGTTATCTGGAATGGAGTCTGAAGTCACATTGGATGTTTTCAGAGAAGCTAAGTTCAAACTGTTGAGAGCCTGGAAAACATAGAGCCCTGTCATATTAGAGCAACACCCCATCACAGGTGAGATGTGAGAACAACAGCTTTGTTACATTGTTGCTCATTTTGAATTTTAATTAAGCTACTTATTCAGAATGATAACAAAAAATAACAAAGATTAATAAACAAAGATCGCCCCTTAAAGAGATATTTGAACTTTCCTACATTTAGTTTCAGTGAATGACTGCAAGTTTTAACATTGTTAGATTGTATCTCTAGCCACATTATGCTAAGCAAAACATATGTGCCCTATATGTGATTCCCTGTAGCTACCAGTCCTAGGCAACTTTCTATGGATCAACAGCCCCAATTTGGTCATTTAGGCATCTGATGTTACTAGAATAGTACAGAGATCACAAGATGGAGCATGAGCTTATTTTTCTTGACAGCTTTTCAGATAATTTAAATATTTTAGTAGTTGAATTAGTGAAATAAAAATGTCTGACCTCCCAGAAACCTCTCACATTTTTAAGAGGAACCCTCTCCCCAAAAAAACCCTAGCCATTTTGCCACTGATCTTAGGGTGCTATAGAGTGCAAACAGAACACTGGTGGTCTTAGTGCCCACATCTACCCTAAGTTTGAAAGTCCCAAATATGATATCTGTGGAGTCCTTGGTGCTTTCTGAACTTGGTTATTTCCTTGTGGACATTCCATTACAAACTAGTGATGTTACCTAGTTTGGTAATGAAACAACTGCAGTAAAACAATGAAGCTCAGAGAGCACTAAGCACTCCACAGTTCAATCCTGTGTCACAAATACAAATTGTCTTCTGTAGTATCTGTTCTCACAGGGTAACTGCTATAATCTTCTAATAATTCTCCTTATAGTGCTGCTAACTTTTGTTACTTAAAATTAAATTGGTCAGATTTGAATTGAAAACTCCTTTCCAATGTACATTGGAGGATTTGGACACATTTGTCTTAATCATGGCTTGGATGTTGAATTCTGTCCCATAAAGGAAGAGGTTACAATCAGATGAAGAAGCATTTCATTCACAGGTCCTTCCTGATGATGGAAAAGTTCATCCAAGGCCTCATATCTATAAATAAAAGTGTTAGTTATAAGTTAGCCTAAGACATCACCAAGTTGGCTGAACAACTGCAATAAATCACTGAAGTGATAAGAACAAAATGATCAGATCTGGCTCTGTGAAATTAAAACAAATTTAAATCTGTGATACTTATTGGAACACTCTAGTAAGTTCAATAACTTCAACAATGGCTGTTCAAGCTTTATAATTCTAAATCTGACCATAAGGAACATTATATAATTAGGTCTTGTCAGTAACAACTCTAATTTTCACCATCCATCCTCACCCTGCAGTAGATTCCAAACTGTTGAGTTCTTGATGATAATTGAAGATGCGTATTCACCTCAACTTAACAAAATCTTTCAAAACCAGTCTATACTGTAAGCTAAAAAAAAAGGGGGGGGATTCAATCCAATTCAAGCTCAATTCCTAGTAGCATAAGAATAGGGGTGACATGATAGCAGTGTTATAATACCTCAGAGGTTGCCATAAAGAAAAGGGAGTCAAGCTGTTCTCCAAATCACCTGAAGGCAGAACAAGAAATAATGGATGGAAACTAGTCAAGGAGAGAAGCAACCTAGAAAGAGAAATTTCCTGACAGTTAGAACAATTAATCAGTGGAACTGTTTGCCTTCAGAATTGTGGGTGCCCCATCACTGCAGGTTTTTAAGAAAAGATTGGCTCTAATTCCTTCATCATTCAGAGATCTTTGGATATAACACATTTTGTATTAATATTAATATTAATAACATTTTGTATTAATAATGTGAATGGGAAAGAGAAAGAAATTCAAGATTTACTTCAATAATTTGTCTACTCCAATTACATATTTTTATGCCAACCTAAAATTGGCACAATTTTTACAGACAAACAATGAAGAAAATAAAAGAATTGGTTAGAATTAAAATATATCTTTATTTTGGTCCTCAACAAAACAGGTGTAGGTGCATAATGTAACAAAGAAAAGAATCAGCATATTCATATTTTTCATAGTACAGAGGAACAAGGAATTGGACTAACCAGCATATTCATTTCACATAATACGTTTTTCCATATCAAAAATGGCACATTTAATTATGTGATGCAAATTAACAAAGAGCAGATCACTGGGTCAATATCTGTATGCAGCAGTACAGAGGTTGGTCATGTTGAGAAGAATTGATAAGTCCTTGACCTTTTCTCTGTTTTTTTTTCCCCCATGACTTTTGGACATGGTTTCAAAAATCCTTAAGTTTTTATTTCTTAAGATTCCAAGCATGACATATATTAGCAAAGCTTTAATAATCAATACTGTACACATTATGCATCAGGCAAATGTAGATGGGGAAAATTTAAGAGGATTTAAGAAGATTCAAGTTTGCACATGGCTTTTATTTTTTAAATGTTTCTCAAGTCAAATAAAAATGGATCAGCTACCAGAAGCTTATCTTTTTTTTTTTGCTCCAAGGCTCTTAAACACCACACCTAAATCCCATTTTTTAAATATATTAAGCTGCATTGCCAAAGCTTAAAAAATAAGTAAAAGTCTAGTATAGTTATCATAGCATAGCATGGAATTACACATATATTTTCCAGACAGAGTACATGATCCTTACATAATAGGGACACATACATATTCATTCGCTCGCACACTCCCTCCCTCTTTTCTCTGTCTCTGTCTCTGTCTTTCTCTCTCTCTCTCACACACACACACACACTCTCTCTCTCTCTCTCTCTCACACACACACACACACACACACACACTCACATAGTGGGGGGTCATTCTTTAGTATATTGATTATATTAACATTTAACTAGAAGGACTGAAGACTATTAAATTTGCATGCCTTAAAAATTTATTCCTTTATTTATCTAATTTCTATAGCACCCAATTCAACCAGGTGACTCTGGTTTTTATATAGGTATAGGTAATATGATTAAGGTGGGGGCAAGTAATGCAAATAGCAAAGTGGTGATTCAGATCTCATGGTTAAACTGCCATCTTGATTTCCTTTGTCCCCACCCAGACATCCCTAGATTAAGTGCTAATAAAACCAGAACAATCCCAACTTTAACTGTCTTTAAATGACAGTAAACTGTGTATATCTTTAGATGAATTGGCACAAAAGACCAATTTAACTCAGGAAGTAATTTGCATAAGAGTTTCATCACAGCAAGAAACTACAGGAGAAGCATCTTATCCAATCCTTTACCTCTTCTTACCTTGTGATAACATCTGAAGTATGCAGCACGCTCATCTGAAAATTTCTCCATTCTTCTGGGCCCTTTGCTGGATGCTTTCTTGAAGACTAGCCAACATCTCTGATAAATCTATGAAAAACATACACAAATATACTTCCCCATGACTTGGATGACAATGCTTTTATGAAAATATACACTTATAAATATCTACACAAACCTATCCATCTAGATACATTTAAATCCTCCATCCAGGATTTAAAATGAGGTCTATGCAATTTGTCCCAGTGATTCCAACAGACTTGAAGTTTGATTATTTTGGGACCCATCTCAGCAATTATACATCACAAACAACATCTTAGTTTTGAATTAAGTGATTATACTGTTATAGACCAGTAAATAATTCAAAATCATTGTGCAACTATGAACATTTTCAGATGTTCTGCACTTACCGCTTTTTTTCTCTTACATTCACTCATTAATTCATAATCATACTAGACACAGAAGCCATATTTCTGAATGACTAAATTAAACAAGGAGAGAAGCAACCCAGAACTAAGGAGAAATTTCCTGACAGTGAGAACAATTAATCAGTGTAATGGCTTGCCTCCAAAAGGTGTGGATGCTCCAACAGCGAAGGTTTTTAAGAAGAAATCTGAAATGGTATAGGGTTTCCTGCCTGAGCAGGAGATTGGACTGGAGGACCTCTAAACTTTCTTCCAACTCTGTTATTCTGTTTTCTTTTATGCTCTTTTGTTTCAATGTCCCTAAGAAGTTCACAGATTACACAAGAATCCTTTTGTAACTTTTTTGGCTCTGTGGTGTTTTCATGTCATTTAGCTTTTTCAGATACCACATATGGGATAAAACAGTGGTGGCGAACCTATGGCATGCATGCCAGAGGTGGCACTCAGAGCCCTCTCTGTGGGCACACACTCCATGCCCCGAAGATGGCAACAGTCCCTCTTCAACCAGCCGCCCGCTAACTCGCTGAGGTCCCACATGGCCGGATGCATCCCAGCACGGCTGGTTTTTCTCCCCTCCATCCCATCCCTCCTGGCCGCACATGCTCTCCTTTTCCTGGGCACGACCCACGGTATCGCCTCCTCAGCTGTCGGCTGTCCGTCAAGCTCAGAGGCTTCTCTGAACTGCTGGCGGTGGGCTGCAGAGCCCCAGAGTGTGCTGATTGAGGGGCCGGCAGGCTGTGGCTGCTGATGGACACTGTCGGCCCCCAGGCACTCGCTGACCTCTGTGTGTGAGGGCCGATGGTGTCAGGCAGCAGCTGCCCCGCCCCTGCTTCACCTTGCCCTGGAACAATGGCACCCACCCTGCCTCACCTTGCCTCGCCTCACCCCGCAGGACGAGCCTCCTGCCCACCACCCCATCTGCCAGAGACCCCCTGGATCTCCCCCAACCCTGCCCGGCCCCCACAGGCATCCATCCCCACAAGCAACATTGAGGTGACCACACCCACCTTGGCCACACCCATCCAGTCTGCCATGACCATAGCCACGCCCACTCACTTATTTATTGCCAGGTGCCATGTGGGCGTAGCCCACTCAGTGGGCTACGCCCACATGGCACCTGGCAATAAATAAGTGGGTTTTGGGTTGCAGTTTGGGCACTCGGTCTCTAAAAGGTTCGCCATCACTGGAATAAAACATATTTTAGTATTTCTAGACTGGTCTCAGTGAGACTTTCTTTTACAGCTTGACTGATTGTCTTAAGCAGTTTAGAAAGCAAGGAGTAATATCAATATCAGTCACAGTCACTGTCCTCCTCAGTATTCCTCAACCTTGGCAGCTTTATGATGTATGGACTTGTATTATTATTATTATTATTATTATTATTATTATTATTATTATTATTATTATTATTATTATGTTATTGTAGACAGTTTCTGTGCATTGAACCCAATAAGGTAAATAGGGGGAGGGGCTGTTCCATTTTATTTCATGCAACAAAACACCACTGAATGGTTCTGATGTCCCTTCCCCGTTTACTTATCCTCCAATCAGTAGGATGTCACTCTGGACCAAATACCTAAAACCTTACAATTTTATATTCTCAAATCAGTTACTTAAAAACATGTCTGTTGTTTATTATATTGTCAAAAAAGTGTCAGAATAGACAATGATTAACAGCTGGAAGAGAGAATGCAAGCCCCACCTCAATTCATGATGATGGTGGTGATGACGACGCAACATGTCATCAAGTTGTTCTTGACCAATAGTAACCACATGGATTTTGTCCATGAGGATCTGCCCCTAATCTAAATCTTCAGCTCTTTCAATAGTGCACACAACACTACTGTAACTAATTTCACCCACCTTGCTGCTGGTCATGTTCTTCTCTGTCCTTCCACTTTTCCCAGTATTAGACCCTTGTCTAGAGCAGGGGTGTCAAACTTGCCACATCATGTATTACGACTTTTTTCCCATTGCCGGAGGTGACGTATTACGACTTTTTTCCCATTGCCGGAGCTGGGGTGAACACAGTTTTGGCATGATGCATCCGGCCCGCAGGACAGCAGTTTGACACCCCTGGTCTAGACAGTTATGTCTTGATATAATGATATCATATAAATGTTCAAATGGAGTAGAAGCTGCAGTACATTGCAGCTTGTGTTATCTTAACAAAAGTGTCAGAACCTGCAGATGCCTTGGAAAAAATGTAGGATTGGGAAGAGTCTTGAGAAAGTTCAGCTTCAAATGTATTATGCTCTTACTTACTTTCCCCTTTTTGCTTAGGTTATTTTTTTTAAAAAAATCTGTTTCAACCTTATGTTATTCACCCAGTCATCAAATGTGATGGCCATAAAAATGATTAAATGTTGTTTAGCAGGAATATGAAATGTAGTTTGGGAGGATCTTGAATAAGAATGATGTAGTCAAAAACATCTGAAGATTTTGATAAGTGTAAATATTTATATATCCTGGTTGCAATATGTTGGAATGTTAGAAGATAAATGGGAATGCAGGATAAGCTTAACTTTTATTCATTGACCATGTAAGTCAGTTATAATCACATAATGACAACCACTACCTCTGATTTAGTCTACATTTAGTGCATAATCTCCAAATCTCAATGGAGAGTTTATAATTGAAAAAACTAGCTGAGTTTTTGGATTTTTCCCAGCTCCTTATTTTATCTTGTCTGATAATTTGTCTGCTCTATTCAGTCCTGATAAATGTACTGACCTACTGTGGTTAATAGATTTTTCTTTAAGAACCAAGTGTTACTGTGTTTGCTTTACAGAAGGCAGGAACTTCTGATTCCATATGATGAGATAGAATGTAGCAAGCTGGGTTCCCAGGAGGTAGGGGGTGCACTCCAGACAAATAAGAGTAACTCAGTCAAGATATCTTCTGTGAGAGAAAGAAGGTGAAGACAGCTCCTCCCTAATAATTCCTGGAGTATATGATAAATGCATATAATAGAATGCTTAGCCTGGCAAGATTCTGTCTATAGGTTTGGACCAATAAAAAATTCAATTTGAAAGAATCACTACATGTCTTTCTTGGTTTGGGGGCCTAACAAACTAGGACAACTAAATCCAGTACCACCAAGAGTCTGAGCTAACTGAAATGGACATAAATGACATAATATTTATAAGCTAAAAATGCAGGCATTGTAACTACAGAGAGTCTACTATTTCACACTTCAAAACAGCAACAGTTATAAACATACAATTGTTATGTTGTACATTACAACTGTAACATACAATCAGGTTTGTTCTTTGTTAAAATCCATTTCCTTGGCAACAACTTCTCCTGCTGTGGCTTTAGAAGGCAGTGCACCAGTAAGTACATCGTATTTATAAGTGCAAGACTTTTTGTAAGATTTGTAATTTCTTAAAAATTACAGGTGGGTAGATATAACCTCTGGAACAGAAATTTGATGGCTAGAAGATTAAATTTCAGTCCTCATGTTTCCCTCTTTTAACCAGGACATATGCAATCAAGCCATCTTTTGTGATATCATCTTGATATCACAATTGATTCAACTTAGCACAGTTAAACTAATGGCAGAAAGTTTTCGAATTTTATGAACATGCCACAAAAAGATCACCCACTGTACAGGTAGATGGTCACTTAACACTGATTTGTCAAAAGGCAAAACAATGAGATAATAATAATAACTTTATTATGGTCATAGACCAGAGCAAAACAATGAGAATTTTCCTTAACAAGGCCCCCACGTTAGACCTTTTTCTTTTTTCTGGGTAGGTGAGGTTTTATCCAGACAAAGAATTCAACTGAAAATCGTCAGGTTGCATTTCTTAAGTATACCTGTGAGATCTTTGTAAAACTCATGGGCCACTTTAAATTAAAATCATGCTGGATGAACAGTTGAATAGCTAATAAAAGTAATGAAGAGCAGGTATTCTATCTGGAAAATAAGGCCAGTTGTTGGAGGATATATTACAGAATTCTAAAAGAGACTGTGCTGAAACTAACAATGTATATGTGATGAGACACACATGTTGATAACCTTCTGCAAGGTGGATGCTATAGGACATATTGTCAGTTACTTTATTCTTATCACAAAGGAGGACGACATCAATGAACTGAACTCTGAAGCAACAACTTCTCTGAATATAGACATTAACAGAATAATAACAAAGTTGGAAGTGACCCTGGAGGTCTTCTGGTTCAACCCCCTGCTTGAGCAGGAGACCTTAGACCATTTTAGACAAATGGCTGTCCAGTCTCTTCTTAAAAGCCTCCACTGATGGAGCACCCACAACTTCTGGAGGCAAGTCATTCCACTGATTAATTGTTCTCACTGTCAGAAAATGTCTCCTTAGTTCTAGGTTGGTTCTCTCCTTGCTTAGTTTCCATCCATTGTTTCTTGTCTTGCCTTCTGGTGCTTGAGAAAATAGATTGACCCCCTCTTCTTTGTGGCAAACCCTCAAATATTGGAACATTGCTATCATGTCATCCCCAGTCTTTTACTTTATATTACTTATGAACTTTCAAGTACGAACAATTCTATCCACAACTGCAATTTAGAAGATCCGGGAAGTCGAGAAAAGACTGGGAAGGGTTAGTTTCTGGTGTACTGGATATGTATACGGCACACTAGAAACTAACTCTTTCATGCTGTCTTCTACCTTTTTTCCCAACTTC